AAGAAGAAGAAGAAGAAGAAGAAGAAGAAGAAGAAGAAGAAGAAGAAGAAGAAGACGAAGACGAAGACGAAGACGAAGACGAAGACGAAGACCGACCCTGCATTCCTCTTTGTTCAAGTGAAAGAGTGCTCCATTCGGCCACCGCTCCACACAGTCGCCCTGGCCAGACACTTTGTAGGGCACCCGCACGTGTGGACGGCCTTCGTGTCTGTCACGCTCGCCTTCTCGCCGCGCTGGGATCAATGCCTTCCGCTCCGCTTCGCTCAGAGACTCCCGGGCATCGGTTCCGGCACCTGAGAGGGTTACGACGGATGACACGGGGATGAGGTTCCCCGGACACGGACTTAGGATCCGACTTAGTTTAATTCTAATAGCAAACATTGTTACTACCAGTAAGGCACTTGTTACTACTAGTAAGGCACTTGTTTCTACTAGCTTATTGTTACTAGTAGTAAGGCACTTGTTTCTAATAGCAAACGTTAGGATAAACCAGTTGGCAACAAACTTCCGGAAGTGTTGTTTCTACGAACCACTTGTGGTGGGCTAGGGTTATATTTTTGCCTGCACAAGAGCAACATGTCTGGCAGTCCGAAACGTTTCTTCCTTCAACAGTAACTTCGAACCAAAATTATCTCAAAATGAGAAAAAGCAACACCCGTGACTCATCAGATCACTGGCGCCTTGCAGCCGTTCGGCTTCGATCTCCGCTTGGAGCTCGCGTTCTGCCTCGTCGTCCGGCTCGAAGAACAGGCTCAGAGGCCGCTGTGCCAGAGCCGCCTGGTCGCGCCACAGCTGTGGAGCGCAAAGCACCTCCGCGCCGGTTCAGTCGACACACCGGTGGAGTGTCCAGCCCTTCTCGATCAGCACACCTGGCAGTGCGAGGAGAACCAGTGAGGAAAAAACGGCTCATCTCCGGACTGGACAGCTTTGGGATTGTTTGGGGTCGTCCTTTACGGGGTGTTTAACCCACCCATGCGCATGTTCCCACAAGATTTGCAACATCGCTGTTGACACACTGCAAACGGAGCTTATTGACTAGACCGGCTAGACCAAACAAAGCGAGTGGCCGTCATGAAGCTGCACCGCATGCAGGACCTGCAAATTCTGTTGAAGGGCAGCGGAAACCTTCTTCAAGTCCTCCTGGCTATCAATCACAACAACTGCCTCATCCGCAGAGACCACCCTCGCTGGAGCTTCTTCGTCTGGATCTTGCTCACAATCCTGTCCAAAATACCTCAGGTATCTCGAGAAGCTCGCTGAGATATTTTTCAATGCACACAAACACAGGTCATAGACGGTCTTAGACTCGCAAAGAACCGAAGACAGAACTTGCCATCCTGGACAACCTCGCCATCACACGGCCCCCCGCTCTTTCATCATCTGTGCCCAGGGCACGCTCGTGCCACTTCTGCCACATGCTTTCCTGGAGGATACCAATCCATGAGAGCTCGATCAAGATAGTCCCGTAGCCAATAACATGCCCATATCACTTGCTCCTGGGAAAAGGCAACAATTGCACTCGGTTTGTCAACATTTGGAAACTGCTTGGGATGGCCAAAGTGTTGCTTCTGGCAAAACGGTTGCTGCTAATCGTGGCAAACTTTGGGGCTGACTGTCACCCAATCATTAAGGAAACCATTGCTTCCGGGCCTCGATTACCGTTTCTTAGTAGTCATGAATGCAGAAGATGTCAAAGGCTGTTGATTGCATCCACAGTACACCAAAACTCATATCAATCAAATACCACCACTACATGGAATATTCGCAAGTTATTTTTGCGGAGCCCGTTGTGGTTCCTGGTACCTGGTAGCCCAGCCTCTTGTTCAGAGCTGTCGCCGAGCAGTTCAGGTAGCTGCTCCCAACGTTGGTCTAAGGAGTGTCCGACAATGTCTGCACATTCCTGGGCGGCGTCATGTGGGGCGGTCCGATCATGTTGTCTTCGACGAGTTCCATTGCTATTAGGTTGCTTTTGCTATTAGGTTGGAGGCTCTGGACTCGACACTCGCAGGGTCAAGTAGACAGTCAAGTGGTCGTTGCTGGGGTGTTCCCAACTTTAGCTTCGTTTCATGTTTGCCCTTGCAAGAGACGTCTATCATGAACGTGAAGCCCTCTTTCCTTTGGCGGCCGCGTTGGGTGGGCCATGCTGGCACGTATAGCTCGAAGGGACGGACAGCCGGCCTGAGCCCTTATTTCAAGAGGCCGCAGTGGCTGCGGCTCATGACACGCCTCTTGACTCGAAGGAGAATCAAATCCCACTTTGAGAGGCAACTGAACAAAATCACTGCTGGTGTAGTGCTCAAACAGGGTGATAGTTCTCACAAAACTCAATGGTTCCTAAAGCAGGAAGAAAACTACACGGACCAGTGGACAGGGACCGGCGCATTGATGATCTACCAATCCCAAAGCAGGACCGACCCGAAGGGTCGAACCCCCCCAAACGCATTGGAGATCGGGACAAGTCGTGCGGACCAAGCAATTCAACCAACCCGTGAGAACGATCGTCAGGTCCAGCATCCAAGAACTGCCGGTGGTGGTGATTGCCTGTCCGATTTGGATCCTCCTGAAGCCAAACTTGCATCCACTCTTGCAGAAAGAGGATGATCTCCTGACCCTGACCAGACATCGCCATTAAGAAGGTCTCCACAGTGTGCACTCCTGGCAAGCAAGAACGCTACTAGGGCTCCTGGCCATACTCCTAGGAGGAAGGATGCTACTAGGAACCAAGGGCATCGCTACGAACGGAGCAAGAAGCTGCGACTAGCAGCTCAGCAGCTCCTGGTCTTTTTTTCATGCGTCAAACGACCGGGGAACGACCTGGTCGCGTCTCTCCGACAAAGCGTCCGTCCAAGCGACGCCAAGTCTGAACCGGATTGCCATGGTAAGAACTGAGTGACAAAAATGCGTTGGTTGCGAGTTGGACTGCACCTTCCCCAACATCCGATTGTGAACATGAGACTTGGATTCGACAGCGCTCAACCCTGCCGACCCTGCCTCTGTCGAGGAAATGGTGCAGCGCCACCAAGAGCTTATGTTGCTCAGCGGCCACCACGAACTTCGCTTGCGATGCTAAAGCCATCCTCGGAATGCAATGCAGCATGCCGGAACGACCCAGGTATAAACACTCCGCAAAAAGGAACGAGTTGGCAGCCGGCCATTTGGGCTATTTTCAGAAGGTGAAGTGGCTCGTGGGGTTTTCCGGTCGCAGCTCTGCACCCTCCTTGCTGTGCAATCTGGCCAAATTGAGTGGTGAGTTTGCGTCACTTTTTGCAGCGGGTGAGCATCGCTGAGCAGTTTTTTAGAGGACTTGGCCATCCCTTTTGAGCAGAGGTGAAGAACATTTCGAAGAGACTGTGAGAATTGCTACGCTCCTAGTAGCGAACAATAGCTCCTAGTAGCGTTCTTGCTCCTAGTAGTAAGGCCAGGAGCCCCGATCGTAGCGTCCTTGCTCCTAGTAGCGATGCCCTTTGCTCCTAGTAGCGTTCGTAGCGTCGGCAGCACCCCGGTGGCCAGGGCGGTGCCCTTCGAAGACGCTCCCGTGGCGCCACGTGACCGATGGATGGGCGTTCGGTTCGGAAAAGATCATGTCCTGTTTTGCTGCTCCATCTCCCGAATTTGGAGCAGCGTGCGTCCTTTATTTTTTTAATCACTAATTGGTTACACTCACCTTGTTTTGACTTCGATCAGCTGAGAATCGCTCTGTGTCTTTCAGCTTTGGCAAAGAAGAATAATCTTTTCGAAGTCAAACCCAAATGCAGCCTTTGAGGAGTCTTTAACATCCAGCCACTGGCTCTCCAAACTGCTTGCTCAGTTAACGAAAAAGAGCAACCCTGCATTTTCACATGCTCTGTCTATGAGATGAATGAAACCAGGGCATGTTTGGAGGGAGTGCGATTTGCCGCGAACTGACTCGGCCAACGTCCAGCGAGAAGCCTGACGAGGCGAGAGGAAGAGAGTTTCAAACGCTCAGGTCCCTGGAGACCCTCAACATTTGGGGAAGAATGACAAGAGAAGGTATACGGGCCTTAAACAAGGGGCCTTGTCAACGCCCTTGCCTTTGTTTTGGTTCTTCTCTTTTTTCTCTACTCATTGGATAGAATTGGGACCATGTGTGGAGCTCCTCACTGTATTTTCTCCAGGGAGACAGTGGTTTCTATTCAACGAGAGGCGCAATTTGTGGATGGCCTGGTCAACATCGGCGTCATTCTTCCGCTTGCCAGTGCGTGATTGCAACTTCTTTCGGAGGCTCCTGCCGATCACACACGTCATTGTTATATGACAGTGACCACACCCTAGGAACAAGGGCGCTACGATCGGGGCTCCTGGCCTTACTACGAACGGAGCAAGAGGACGCTACTAGGAACAAAGGCCAAGTCTCGTTTGTTTTCGACTTGCCCTTGCCGAAGCACCCATGCCCCACAAACAAAGACTGTCAGCCCAAACCAAATACAAAAAACGTCTTGCAAGTACGCACAGACAAGTGAACTGACTCGAAAAACACAACCGAGAGGGCTCAAGTTACCTCACCATCAACTGAGGTTGCATGAAGTGTTGCCAACAGGACGTATTTCACCGCTGAGTAAACACCCCTTTTGAAGGTGAGCTTGGTGAAAAAGGCGGCTGCGAAGGATCCCGCAAGACCACGCGTTGCGTGCGAGGCAGCGCTGCTCGTGCTTCGGTGATCTTCAAGGGCCCCCGAATCGCTTCGCGAAACTTGACCCGCCTCAGGTTGCAGGACTGTAGTTCTTGGGAGTCATCATTGCTGCGGCCTCCCACGCGCGCCACTGTATCCACATAACCTGCTTGGAGGCAATGTTGCAGAAAGTCATCTAATGCCTCAGAGAGGGGTTCAGCTTAGTTGACAAAGATGGAAAGATTTAAGTACAAAAGGAACGGACCGAGGCTTTCGCCGACCTTGGCATCCATATCTCTGGCCTTCACTAGCAGTCCCTAACACCTGGTAAGACACTCAAACCTCGTTGTGTAGCGGTGAAGCTATGAGAGTTCCTGGCCAAGCGGCAAGCTCCACGCGAGCTTGCCGCTTATCATTCTCAGACACATCTATATGCATATTATGGATTCAACTTGTAGCAATGATGTGATCCAACACTGTTCCAAAAGTCTCTCCAGCTGCAACAAGCTGCCGCAGTTGATGTTGACTCGACATACACATACATACACTGGTTCTCTCTCTCCCTCTCCCTCTCTCTCCCTCCCACCCTTGGAGCCTGGCGCGGGGCCGCGCCGAGCTGCATGGTTCTTGTAGGTCAGGACCAGCACACGTGAGTTGGGCAGGAACATTTGCAGCAACTTGCAGCCGATGAAGGTCTTACCTCTCTTGGCATGGTGTGGGCAGTGTGGGTGCCGAGCTGTAAGGTCTTACCGTCCTACCGTCACTTGAAAGAAGGAACCCTTTTAAGGCATCTCTTACTTTTTGGGGGAGAAAGCGAGGTTGTGGAAGATTTAAACAACAAAAGCAAACAACATGAGTTGGGGTCCAAACAACAACTCCAGGTCTTGATGGGTGCGGATGTTGTCTCCAGGCTGACGAAAGCAAAACGCCGCCTGTGCCGGGGGAGTTGAGTCGTCTCACCCCGCCTGTGCCGGGTGGGCCTTGAATCAATGCCACTCGACACTTCAGAGCATGCTCCGCTGCCTCGGCGGCTCGGTGCTTTTTCCACGTAGTAACGGCATCGCGACGAACGAGTCCGGAGCGATCGGACGCGAACCGAATGGGGCGAAGAAGCCGTAGAAGCTACTAGTAGTGCTACTAGTGCCTCGCCTGCAATTGGCTCGGGTCCCAAGTGGTGGCTTTCGCCAACGGCCCGCTGGGATTCTCGAGCGCATTGGAGATCTCACGTCGGAGATGCTCCACAGTGCCAGCCAGGGCTGAAATGCGGAAGCGGAGCCTTTGCAAGAAGAAGCGGCGCACCCAACCACCCAACCACACGAGGCTACAAGTGTCGAAAGTCCACAGCAAAACTCACAGAAGAATACATCGCATGGTAGAAAAACTATAGGCATTGACTCGATTCAGTGATGGGGTTCATGTTTTTGGGGGCACAGCCCGATAACGTAGACTACTGATGTAGGAAACTTGGACACTTGGACGCTGAGTCTGGGGTCCCTTTGTTGCCTGTGACGGGCAAAGACTTCCAACTCGTCGGTTGTAAGCAGTAGACACAGTATGGCCTTTGTGAAGGCTCACGAGACCCTCGTGAACAAGTCTTGTGGGGGTTAGTTGAACTCCATGGTTGGTAGTTTGTGGCGGCCTCTCTACCAAATGGGTGATCAAACGAATTCGGTTTGAAAAGGAACTGGAAATAGAATACCTGAAGATGGTGTTCAAAACCAACAGCGAAAGAACCGCGAGTTCCCAGTCTGTTTCACGACATGAGGTCCCCCCCCCTTCCGGTTAAAACGCCGTAGTTTTGGACAGCTTGAAGTCTACTCAACATGGAAGCATCAAAACCCATGTTCTAGAGAAACACGGATAATTGGTATTCGATCTGTTTTCGGTCCCATGCTGCAGGCCAAATGGCCCGCTTCGTGCTTCGTATCCCGACTGGTTGGTGGTTTCAACTCACAAACAACAAAATCTTGGTCAGTGGGATCAATCGCGTCGACCGAGTACAGGCTGAACATGCAAAAACGCAGTGGATCAAAAGCAGGGTATGTTGGTGGTTCAGAAACCTGGGAGGTCACCAGGTTTTGACCCGTCCGGGCAAACGTTTTGACCCCCCGTCCCAGCCGGCCCCGACGACCGAACCAACCTTCGACCCAGCGACTCCCGGCTGCCCGTGCAGGTCAGAATCTCGTCGGTGACGCGCGCAGCGGAGGAAGAACCCGGCGCCAGGAATCGCACGTCACCGAAAGAAGGTCCAGGACCGCTACTTACTCGGGGCTCCTGGCACTAACGCAATCGGACGCTACGAATGGGGCTGTTCTGAGGTATGGAACCTTCAGTCCATTGGGGCCCCACTTTCAGGAACCAAATCCCCTGGTGCAAGGAGATCAACTGTTTTAGGTGGATGACTCCTGTTGCCAAACACGTTTTGAACATGTGTATGTACCACGCGTGCAGCATGTTTTGACCCGCCCACCATCCAAATGACCAACCACTCCACATGCCCAGTCCGAGCTTTTCCAAGCCGCCTGGGCTGTCCTGCTCCGTCTCCATCGATGTTTCTCTGTAAGGATTGACCACTTGAATCTGATGCCTCAGGGCGTGTGCACCAAGCATAGCTGGAGAACACTTAAAAACTTTTGAAAGTTGCAAAAACTTCCAAGAACCCCCAATTAACACAAGCTTGAACATCATTTGCGTGCCAACAGCAAAAAATGATTGGATCCACGCCAAACGCTTCGTGAAAACACCAGAAGCATCAAGAAACAAAAACTGAGATAGTGGGAAAATTGACACAAGACATATGATATGCATATTAAGCGACAAACCCGCAACTTCGGGGGTTCCAGTTTTCACCGAACAAACTCTGCCCGGAACTCCAGGACCCTTTCATCCCAAAATGTTAGACTAAAGCCCCAGAGTTCAACAACCAAACCAAAGACTCAGTACTGGAAACCACCCAAGACCCATCCGGATCATCCCAAAGGTTACCCCAAAATAGAACCACTACCAAACCAAAGCGAGGTTCTACTTTTGGAGCAAGGACGCTACGATCGGGGCTCCTGGCCTTACTACTAGGAACAAGAAACTACTAGGGGCAAAGGGCATGGTTACTAGGAGCCATCGGACGGTACTAGGGGCTCAATCCTTTCGTTCTAAATCAACTCCTCAAGACGACTTCCGGGGCGCGCCGCTGAAGAACTGAGCGTCCCACAACGATTGTGGCACCAGATGCCCTCCGAAGGGCCCTTCCAGGTCACTTCAAACAAAACCTGGCAGGTGGAGAACGCCTACGCCAATGATGCTAAAGTGAGGCACAGACCGCAGAAACAGCCCCTGATCTGGCCGTCTTCCTTGAAAAAACATCTGTTTTTTCGGTGTGTGTGTGTCACCCTGAAAAAGACCACCAAGAGTCACATGTTGACTCTTCAAGGCAACCTGTCTGCCAGCTGTGGAAAAATGGCTCAACACCTCAACAATGAGCTTTCCAGCTTTCCAACTCAGTTGGGCGTTCCGACTTCTGGGCCAGCGGTCACCGGTGCCACCCTCCCGATGATGTACATGCGTCGCTTCCGCTACAGACGTGTACGTTCGGAAAAGCCAGGCAACGAAAGTGTCTGCAGGTGTTCGCCTCTGAAAGTGCAACGAAGAGAGAAGAATTCGTATACTTGTCTCTTGCGCTTGTCTGCCTGTGTGCTCGGCGTTTTGACGGCCACTGCTGTTTTTTGTTACTATACTAGTAAGGCACCTGTTAAACTACTAGCAAGGCACGTGTTTCTACGAGCGGAAAAATGGCTGTTTCTTCCTTGTCTCCCCTTTTGCCCAAAGATCGGCACTAGCCGTGAGAAGCAGATTGGCCCTGCCAATGCCATGGAGCCCAAAACAGTCCCTTGGGTGTGCTGAGACCGCGGGCGCGGAGCCGAAAGAATGACGAGATTAGTGGAGTCACGAGGAGAGGCGTTGTTGGACCCGCTGACGTTCACTGGAGGCTCTCATGGATCTTTATTGTGGATTGTTTGATTTTTGTTTGAGGTGCTTCTGTTTTTAGGCGTCGTTTCTATCTGCGGTCTATGCTGGTGTACGACCTTGATCTATGCCATTCGGCCCTGAGTCAGGATGTTTAGTAGAGGGCTGACCCTGATTCCCCAAAGACTTGGAACAAACAAACATATGTTTTTTAACAAACAACGGTCTTGATCTTTTTCATTCCATACTAGTGACCGCCATCGCCGTGGTACTGTAAAGGGGGTTGACATGAAGCTCAATATGTCCGGCTTTTTTAGGCAAGAAGCTTCCCCTTCGACCTCCACCTCCGTTTGGACGTTCTCCATCAAAGGCCACGAGAGGCCGATGGCATCTGCAGAGATGCCAACGACTTGGTACATCCTCGGCAGATCCGCAGATCTGGGCTTTGGGGATGGGCATAATTCTTCACCACTGATTCACAAAAAAGAAGAATCACATGCCAGCTCTCACACTCGGCCGGGCATCGGAAGTGTTTTCGTGGCGCTCGACTTCGTCTTTGCAAGCCGATGAGGCAGGTCGATCAGCATCGAATCATCGTCAAGGTCTTCCTCCCGGCACCGAAACGAGGACATGATTGAAAGTCAAGGACCGTTGCTTCATCGCCAGTGTCACCGGTCTTGGACTTCCCAAGCTTTGCATGAAAGAACCACCCGAGTCATCTGCTTTTGGGATCTCGGGCGCCTCTCCGATCCCTCCGTCGGTGGCCACGAACATCTGGCCCGACGATCCGGCGGTGGGGCCCGTGGCACCACGTAGATATGTCTAGGGTTCCCACATGCCTGAGATAGCTCATAAATGCTCATAAGGGACGCTACTAGGAGCCAAGGGCATCGCTAAGGACGCTACGATCGGGGCTCCTGGCCTTACAACTATATATAGGAGCAAGAACGCTACTAGGAGCAAAGGGCATCATAAATGCTCATAAGATCCCAAAACTTGAAAACTTGAAACCATTGACCCATCGACACGACCGACGGCACCATTTCAGTCACCCGCCCAATAGCGTCCTTGCTACTAGTAGCTTCTTGCTCGTAGTAGCGATGTTAGGAGCTACGATCGTAGCTTCTTGTTCCGTTCGTAGTAAGGCCAGTTTCGCCCCGATCGTAGCGTCCTTGCTATCGAGCTCTTTCCCCACCTCTTTCCCCACCAAGGAGGACCCAACTTCTTCCAGCTTCGCCCGGGCCCGCTGCACATCCTTCCGACCGCTGGCGACCGGCGCAGGCGCTCGCGACGCCACCTTCGGTTTCGCAGCAGCGAGTGAACAAACGTCCGGTTTCGCCGACCCTGATTGACGAAAAGAATGGCTTGACCCTAAGGAATCCTTTGTAACACAATGGTTCTTTGAAAAAGACCGTTTATGGTTCTTGGAATTTACGAAGCTCCTCCAATTTGGCCGAGGTGTTGGGTGAACATGGGAGATCTTCGATTGGTCGAATCTGTGGCATCTGCGGTAGGCCGGAAAAGCCAAAAAACATATGTTCTCTTTTTCCGCCCAAACTCTACCTCCGAATAGAATGGATAAACATGTGTTGCAAGTCTTGGCACCAGCAGCTACACTAGCCAGAGTGCAATGGCGCGTACTGAAAAGGGTGGGACTGTGAAAGAGTCGAGTCGAGGGTCTGGGTCTGCTGGCCTGGTGAATTCTTCATGACGATCTATGCCAGGCTGCCTACCCTATGCCAATCCTAGAAGTCCAGGAACCGTTCGACGATATGTTGACCGGCTGAAGTCAAGGAAGTTCCCGAACTCAGGTCCTTTCGACCATTCTTTTTATCGTCGAGCTCCCAGGGCCAGACCATTTACCAATGCGACCTTCTAAACCCACAACGGTGAACATCGATCCCCCAAACGGACGAGAACGACGAGAACGACGCGTCCTTGAAGGGGGGGGATTGGCGTCTCACCCGCAGAGGGGAAGCGTGACTTGAAGGGAAACAGCGGTGAAAAAGCTCTGATGAAACTTGACAGGCTTCCTCTTCTATCAACGGCTTATCTTCGAAGATCAATCCGCGTTGAACCCTCTGATCTGAGAGCATGCTGCATCGTTCGACGTGCTGGCATTCCACCAGCTCTTTCTCGAACGGTAGGCCAACCTTCAAGCAACTCTATCGGGTGCAGATCGGGTCAACCAAAACACATCCTGGCTGTCTACGGGATGGGGATGCACCTAGTAGTAAGGATGCTAGTAGCAGTACTCTAGTAGCTCCTGGCCTTACTACGAACGGAACAAGAAACTACTAGTAACAAAGGGCATCACTACTAGTAGTAAGGGCATCCCCGGAGTCATCGGGGAATAGACATCACAAGAGTCATGGAGAGTCATGCCCTCCACCTGTGTGCCACAAGAAGCACTGGTGAGTTCTTCTTTTCAAAGGCGGAAAGGGCGTGTTTCCACTGAGGCGTCTAATGAAGCACATATGGAGAGAACATGTGCCGCACGCAAGATTTCTTCTCAAGCCGGAGTGTCGAACTATCAAACCACGCGGTTTTGCCAGTTGCAAGTGATATTGCTATGGCTTTCTGAATCGTGTCTGCAATCTGTTTGGGTGTGCTTCAATTCATCAAAAGTTGCGAAGCAATGGTCGTCACGAAAAGACACCGGAGAAAGAGGGTTGAGGGCAGGAGAAGCGAGGCGAAGAACTGGTTCCCTGGCCGACGAAGCCTGAAATGGGTGGGGCATGAAGCGCAGAAAACACCGTCACAACTCTGGACAAAAGAAAAAGAAGCATCACAAGGCTCCCTCTTTCCACTGCAAACATAGCCATCATAGCCTCTAGGAGTTCTAGCGGAAGCTCACCATCGCTTTCAATCTTTGGGGAAATGGCCACCCCCTCCATCCGAAGGCGTTGGCATCCCTCCAAAGAAGCCAATGCAAAGGAAAACCCCCCCAAACGAACCAAGCCACTGACTGCCACTGTGGAAAAAAAGAACCACCCCCACTCCAAAAAACCACACGCAACACCCACGTCCTGCTTCGTTCCTTCCGGAGGAACCGTCTCCCACGTCTTGAGGCTCTGCAACACCGGCTCAAAGGAGCGAAAGTACGTGGGCGAGGCGATCAACGTCAGCTGCCGCGCGCTCGCCAGCCGCGCCAGCGCGCTCGTTAGCTGCCCGCCCGAACCGGAGCGGTGTCCACCTCCGTCTCCGTCGTAGAACTCCAAGGCCACCTGGGGGGGGTTGGGCAACCCCGAAGGTCCGAAGCCACCGTTGACAACTTCGCCCCCCCGCCTCGGAGTGTTTCAGATCACGTCGTGCCGCCAGGAGCCAAATGGGATCTGAAAAGTCCTGGTCGCAGACCTCGCGCCGGGCGCGATTCGGTCGAGGATTCAAGTCCTGGAGAGTGCCACGGTCATGCGCCGTGCCACGGTCAGTCTCAAGCAGTAAGCATGTGCAAATGCCGCACTCAATTCGACTGCCAGTGTGAAGCTGGCATCGACTGCCAAGAGACACAAGCCAGCAAGTTGCCGTTCATGAAGAAGCGTAGGCTGCGGAAGATCCATCGTTTCGATGAAAACATTGGCTTTACTTCAAACACCACCTCAGGCATCATCACTCGAACCAAATGAGAAGACCTCCTGCAAACAAACATATTATGGGTAGCAGGGAAAGTTGGACAACAGTTCTCACAACAATCATCAAAACCAGCGTTTTCTTCTCTCCAGGTTGGCTGTAGGTTATACTTATAGACCTTTAGGTCTCCTGGGCCAGGGAAATCCATCATATTGAAACACTCCCAGGCTCTCCTCTTGGAGGGCTGACAACGTGAACAAGCATTGCCCAAGCCCATCAACTTGGGGTGCTCAACTCTTGCTGCTGAAGACGTGCAGAAGAATACAACGTGCACATTTCTTCTAGGCAGGGTTTGAGTGCATCGATTTGAGATGACCCCACAAGAACGGCATGTTCCAACCAACAAAAGTCTCCCACAAGAACGGCATGTCCCGGCCTTGATCCGACTATCAGCACCATCACCTGACAGGTTTTTGGTGGTTTCTTCACAAGTCTTGCCACATGAGAATGGATGCTCAGAATGGATAGGTTGGAGCCATTGCTATTAGGTTGGAAGCCATCTCATCTACTTGGACAGGCAGTGCATGGATGCTCAGAATGGATCCCAGATTAGGTGGGGATCTGGTCGATTTTCAAAGCCTTAGTCTGAGAGATAATCATCTCCCATGCGGCGACGCAAACCAGAACAGAGTTGTAGAGGATGGCCTCGAAAGATATGTCCTATACATTTGAGCGGCACTTGCCTTTCCACTGTATGTCATGATGGGACAACTCGACACTACCCACGTACTGAGGCGCCTTTACCAACTGTGAAGCCTTTCAGTGTAGCTCTGAAGACATTGTCGTCCGCTTCCCTCTCTTGCTTTGGTCCATTTCGGCCCAGCCCATGCTCGCGGACGTAGGCGATGGAATGGCGAATGGCAGAGATGCAGTCCTCCCGGAGCAAGCGGAAATACGTGTCGAAGTACTCACCTGCGCCAAGAAGAAGGCAACCCATCCACATGGGTTTCTTGCGTGCAGCCAAAACCGGAATCGAATGATCCTCAAACTTGGGAAAATCCCCTTACCAGCAACAGTGGACAATGACAGTTAGTACAAACCTTTCCCCAAAACAATGATCGTTATTTACCGACTGTTGCTGGTAATGGGCTACATCGATCTCAAACCAGTATGTAAATGTGTACACTATTGTAGACTTGCTTGCAATGATGGTTGATGAAAGGAGGACGAAAACACAACATGTTTGTTTGGAGCCGTCTAGAGTTTAGCACCTTCCGCATCATCTACTGTCCATACGTCTGGAAACGGGAGAAGAAACGTCATCATTCCTGGAATACAGAACACCTCAAGAATGGTATCACAGGACGCCAACAAAACATGCTCGATGGTCTACACCGCCAAGTGAACATATCTCGCAGCTGTCTTTCGATGTGCCTGCAGACTTATAGCTTCCGATCTGCCTCACCACTGGAAGCCGTTGCAAGGCAGAGCGTTGTGCTCGTCCGTTGGGCAAAATCTTCAACGACTTCCTGGGGAAATAGGGGCTGTGGGGCTTTTTTTTGTGCAGGGCCGAGTACGGGTATGGCTAGAGGTTCTCAAGTGGCTACGTACCTTTGGTCCCAGCAGAAGCCTGGACGGACCCCAAGGACAAAACATGCTCGTCCGGTGACGAGCCCGGCTCCCGCCAAGTGTCAGCTCCAGCGCCGAAGGGACCAGCGGCATGCAGTTCCAGCAGACATCCTGTGGAGCGCCAGTGGAAAGTCTTGAAGACGCAGCGGACACCAGAGACAAGAGTTGCCTCAGTCTCAGACCGGCTTTTGTTTGGGTCGAAGGCTCAGACCGAACCCGTGAAAAATGCGTACGGGAACCTCTGGAAGGACTTCCAAATCGGACATACAAATGGACGCTACAGACATACTAGATGGTCACTTTCTCGGCTTAAGCCGAACAGGGGGAGACATCCCGAACAGAACGTCCACTCTGCTCGAACAGGGCCCCGCCATGGTGTGGTCTTAGACCGAGTACGGCGAAAGGAAGCAGGTCCTTCAGCCACCCGTATTCCAATGGATGAAGGAACGAAGTAAACATCCGGAACCTGCGAAAAAAGCCAACGATTTGATGTTTCTTTGGCACCAGCCGCCCCCAAAAACCCATCACCCCTTTCGTGATTTCGTTTGCTTCGTGACGGATGTGCTCAACTGCTTGCTTGCATGCCAAAGGGCGAGATGGCTTCGGCAGGAGTACTCCCCTGGCTGGCCTTGCAAAGGTATCTACAAATTGGCAAGGCGGTGTCGAACTTGGACGGTGCAAGATTCATCAGCTGCTGCCTTGACACGGATGGTGGGCATCGGTCGGCATGGTCGCTCTCTGTCCCAAAACCCTCGGCCGTGGGGACGGAGAAACACACTTCCTTCGACCCCCACTGTCGAGTAAAAACAAACGTTTTCGTGGTCTGAAAATGAATAAATTCATGAACATCAAACACATGGAAACAGCCTCACCCTTGAGCAACCTGGATTGCCTCCCCAAAAAACGCTCCAATCCGCAGAAACTCAAGCGGTGTGGCATGGGCGGCGGCCTAGAAAGCCGGAAGCACTTGCAATTTTTGCGTGGTTCTTAGATTCTGAGGTGACCATTCTCCTTATTGGCACCCACATTTTGATGGATGGATGAGCAAATATGACAACATATGACAACCCAAACTAGGTCTAGTTTGATGAATGACACGCGGTCGAGGCTAAGCCTACGTAGAAAAGGCAGCATTGGATTTCCAGTTGAACATCGAGTAGGCTTTGGCACCAACAAGGTCAGTTCGAATACTTACAAGGCAAGCCGAGATCGCACACTTTTGGCCGAACACTGAAAGACCTGTTCTCCACTGGGTCGGGGCCCTCCCGAAAGCCCGTCGTCTTTCACCGAATGGCGGCAGCCGAAGAGCGCAACCGCAACCCCGATCAAACACAGCTCACACCGATAGACCACCCCCACCCCCTCCCGTTTGGTCCGCAAGTTGGGTTCGTTTCAAAACCCCCTTCCATCCCCTTCTGGTTCATTCCAGTGACAGTCATCCCTTGGCCCAGCTGCAGGAAGGGCCAAGACTTTTGCAGGATCTTCTGGGACAACCGCTTCTTGGATCTGATCGATGTGATCAACGCGGAGCGCTCCCCCAGCAGCCGTCCCGACGCAAGGATCCCGAAGATCTGCGACGCACGGGGTGAGTCACACACGGCCAGGGCGAGCTCCAAAAGCAGCAACACCTCGGACGAGTTCTGTTTTTTGGCACAAAAACACCCCCCCTCCCTACAAAAACAAGTAATTAGGTGCCTAATTACTTCTGCTAAAGTAATTTAAGGGAGTAAGCTACTAGGCTAAGTGAGCTTCTAGGTAGGAAGCAGGATCGCGCCCGCACTAATCCTTTGGTTCCTAGATGTTTAGGGACACTTCGTTTGTCTTGACAAACACCTTCTTTGACCCGTTGACCAGTTCTGACTCCGGGACCTCGAACTCAAGAACTCAAGCTCGGCGGACCTGGCCCAGGGCTGCCCATGAAACCGAGAAACGATCCGATCCAGAGGCCATTCATCACCATCTTGGAGTGTGCCCCGAATTTTCACACTGTCACCGTTGTTCCTTAGGAGATGCAAGAGGATGCGTTCGCATGCTTCGCTGACGAGAAGCTGGATGCTGAACATTGTTGTCAAAGTCTTCGGAACGAGGAGTCCCTAAATTTTATATCTGAACAATGAAAAGCTTTCAATCTACGATTTGATATCGTTTAGTTTGAGGTCCTCTCCCTCAAACGGAGAGTCAAGGCAAATAGGTGGAAACACACACACAATGCCAGGCTTGCCAGGCTTCTGGGAACTGTTGGCCAACACCACCTTCGCAGTGTGGGGACACAACGGGATCACACGGATCTTCACACAGAAGCGCTCTTTCTGCTCCAGTTGCACAGCGTGTAATGCTTGACCAAGCTTTCGATCCGCGATGTACAAGCCATCTTGGAACTCCACCTGCACTGGTCGCCGGATGGTTCGTCTGATCGTTTGGCGCGATTGAGTGATCTAACACCAACTTGGCTGAGGAGCCGAACCCAAACCTGACCAACTCAATACTTCTCCACTGAAATGCTAAACAGCCAACCAACTACGTGGTTGTTAGCCTTGCCTTCGATACTTTGACGCCAACTCATTCATTCCGAATTGCACATCGGCAGCCTCAACCTGTGGCACCAAAAGCCCAGTAAGTCCAACGAAAACACGAAGCACCAACAACAACTTAAGTTTCCCTGAACATCTAGGAACCAAATGAATAGTGCGTGAGCTATCCTGCGTCCTAAATAGTAGCGTCCTGTGCCCAGAAGCTTACTTATTAGCTACTCGTGCTACTACCTACACCACCCCCCCGGGCCAAAAGAATGTCTCCAAGGCGCCACGTCCAGGGTCTTCTGCCCAGTACGATAGCCTTCAGCCAAGCCCCGATCCTGAAGACTCAATGACAAGGAGTCAAACAAACATGTAAAGGCCACCAAGCTGCCAAAGGCTCACATACTGTACCGATAGAAGTGGTATGTCAGAATGTAATATATTTTTATTCAAAAGAAGAAGTGGTATGGATGTTCGTGATTTTTGGGAGCTCCAGCTTCAACGTTAAGTCTGGCCGTGGCTTGTACCACCCAAAAGGCCAGAGCATGACCCCCCTTTGGACCAATCAACTAGAGGGATCACATCTCGGCTTAGCCAGTTCAGGATTTCGGGTTGATTGCATCGACGCTTGGCGCCGAATCATTTTTGTATGGAACGACCGATCATGTTTTTTCACCGAACACGTGCGTTTCCAATTAGCATTGTAGTGTTCCTTGCAGGGAAAGTGTCGAATCTCATCTCCATCAGCGACTCACCAAAACTGCCAGTTTGCCTCTCAGTGCCCCATTCTGTCCGTCTTTGCATGCGACCAAAAAGGTGGGGTTTTCATCCTGGCGGTACCTTTACCATCTGCCTCATGCAGCAACGGTCAATGATGCAGCCCGGTCCGGCGTTTTGAGGGTCACGCACGGTCAACCAGTGGTCTCACCAGTCTCACGGTCAACCATTCTCATGTCAACCAAAGCCTTCTCATGGTAACCAATAGGGAGTTGAGACATATACATACATATATATATATATATATGTATATTATACTGGTTGGCTCTGGGTTTACTCTGATTACGAGTGAATGATGATTGTGCTGTGTCAGCTGTGTTTCTCCTTGGTGTCGAACTACCGAACGTGGGCAGTGCATTCTTCATTCCTGCAGAGCTCACTTAGCAGCTCTGGAGAATTGCCACCAGGATCAAACTCCATTGCAGGTTGAATAGGTGAACCCCGGTGACCCCCCAACTCCTAAGGATGCATGCAAGTATGATCAAAACTCAAAACACCCGTCAACCAGGTCGTGTCAGGGGTTTTCCGGCATTTTCCCGTCCATGTGACCTGTGAAATTCTTCTCCCACCTACCCACCCAAAGAAAACCAATGACTCGCAGCAACATGAACCGAAGAACCCCGAGACGACTCGGGAAGCGCAGCGCGACGACTCGTCTCGAACGAGACCGGGGCGAGAGCCCACCGTCGGGCGAAACAGCCCAGCGGCCGAAGCAGAGATGCACAGGTCCCTCGGCTGGAGCAGAGGAAGGATTTGTGAGAGCCAGTAGTAACAAAGAAGCTAGTAGTAACAGGTGCCACGCTAGTAGTAACAGGTGCCTTACTAGTAGTAACAATGTTTGCTAGTAGTATTTGTGAGAGCCAGTGATTTGTGGTGACCGACCTGAACACGAACGGACGAATACGAGGACCCTGCGATGTTGTCTGGGAACGAACCTGCATGGGTGTGCGCCGGCACGGCATGGGTGTGCGCTTCTAGTCTCTCTTTTTTCAGGGAGCAACGCTTCTCTCCAACGGCAGAGCTGTGAAAAAACCTCAAACCTCAAGCTACTAGGAGCAAGGACGCTACTAGGGGCTCCTGGCTGTACTACTAGGAGCAAAGAAGCTACTAGGAACAAGAATGGCATTCAAACCTCCTGACATCCAATCTGTGTGTGAAAATGGTCCGACCTGGACAACTGTCCGATCGATCCAGCGGATCCAGCATGTCTTGTCCAGTCCAGGTTGACAATATTTGTCACCACCGAAGTAAAGAGATTCCTAGACTCGTGTCAAGCAAAAAGAGCATTTGAACTTTGAACAATAGTCTTGGACTCCATTTTTTTTCATATTTTTTCCATTGTGGAAGCCGAAAGAACGAAGTCTGTGGCAGCAGCATCGAATTACGCATTTACTATGCAACACCCCCCCTACCCTGTTGGGAGAAGTCTGGGCCCATCGAAGCTTCCTCGTCAAAACAACCACGGAATAGATACTCATCGTGGCTTCAGATGATCCACTGTTTTTGATGGATCACTCCTTTCAGTCAGAGACAACAATGATAGGCCAATCCTCTCGGATTTTGGTCAGAACCCTTCCGACAAACTCAGGACGAGCCGGATGTGTATGGAAATTGTAGTACAAAAAACCCTGGCTTCATTCCACCTGATTTCGGTCATTGATTTCGGTGTCCGTTTCGGTGTCCGGTTTCGGTGTCCCGGGTTCGTTTTCGGGGGGTTCCGGGTCTGTGCCCATGGGCGTTGGTCGTCGGGTCTTCAAGCAAGCAACTCAAAGTCTTCCAGCTCTCTGCGACGCTTTCTCTGCGCGACGCTTCCAGCTCTCTGCCCAGCAAATTGGAGCTCATCCACTGCGACATGGCCTATACCGAACAGCGGTTGGGACCGGACTCGTGGGACCGGACGGGCGTCCAACGGATCTGCCACGTCCCAGATGCTTTTTCAAGAATGCGGAACCTATGGCCCTGGTTTCCAAGCTAGTAGTGATGGCCTCCAACCTACTAGCCTGAAAGAATGCCATTGAACCTATGCTGGCACTGACACATGCCCCTGGCGTCCTTTCATCCGACCCCTACAGCGGAACATCGCCCGACCAAATCTGCCAAGACCAAGACCTCTGGCGGTTCCCTTGCCATTTCGACAACCTCCAAAAACGAGGAATACTGCAACTGCTAGAGCCTCTCCCGCAGCAAACATAGAGGATCTTCGAATCTTCTTTCCTACGCACACTGGTAAAAGAATACACTTTGTTTCCATGTCCCAAACAATCCAGCAAACTGATATTACTAATGATAATGCTCATGTGTTTGCTCCTGCTTCTCAAAAGAAGAAACCCTTCGCTCAGACACTCTCGGGAAGTTGCCAACCAGATCACTTCGCAGTTCGGCTCGATCTTCCAACGCCCACGGCGGAGCGTTGCTGCAGTTCCGCTCCGCTGCAATGTCCTTCAGAGTCGCTTGGGCCGCCAGAGTGTCAGGGTGTGCGGCCACTTCCGATGAGACCTGGTGAGACCAGAGCCGACCCGAAGACCTCCTGACCCGGGCCGACCCGAACTCCAAACTCCAGCGCCGAAGAGCATATGGCAAACCTGGTATCGCCAAATTTATCGCTCTTGCACACCTGGTAGAAGCCCTCGCTATTGGGTTGGAGGCCACCACTACTGGGCTGGAGGCCATCGCTCTTAGGTTGGAGGCCATTGCTATTGAGAGGATCTCTTGCTATTAGGTTGGAGCAGGTCTCTTTCAATGCGACCACGGCGCAGGCGTACACTCGCACAGATCCGCTATGAACTTGGCAGTGCCCTTGCAAAGGGGATGGATGTTCACGCACACTTCCACTGTACTTTCCTGGCTCGTGAGTTCATCTGGCCCATTCAATTCATTTCCTGCTCGCAAGAAAAGGTCCACGCGGACCTCAAAAACTATACAAATCTGGGACCCCTGGCCCTTCCAATGTAGGGTCAGCCAGGAGGGGTCATAGCCCTCACGGTCGACATCAGCTTTCAACCGACTTCAACTCCGCATGCTCAACTGGGAAACCATTCAAGACTCCGGTGTCGGTCCGTTAGGAAGACAATGAGAAGAGGCCGAGAAGAAACAAAATTGGAAGGCATTTCTTCCCCAAAAAACAGGACACCGAGTTTTGTGCTTTTTCGTCTCGCGGCTGCAGCTCAGTGTCGCTGTGCTCTTTCTGAAACTCCTTCAGCACCCACAAGCGCCGATTGTTCACCGAGCGCACGCGCTGCTTCAGCCGGAAGACCTCCAGCCGCAAAGGACGCTACTAGGAGCTCCTGGCCTTATTACTGGGAGCAAGGATGCTGCTAGGGGCTCCTGGCCTTACTACTAGGGGCTCCTGGCCTTATTACTAGGAGCAAGGACGCTACTAGGGGCTCCTGGCCATATTACTAGGAGCAAGGACCTTATTACTAGGAGGCAGGACGCTACTGTAGGGGCTCCTGGCCATATTACACTAGGGGCTGCTGGCCTTATTACTAGGAGCCAGGACGCTACTAGGGGCTCCTCCTGGGCTCATTACTAGCAACTAGAAAGCTACCAGGGGCTCCTGGCCTTGTTACCAGGAGCAAGGACGCTGCTAGGTAGGGGCTCCTGGCCTTATTACTAGGAGCAAGGACGCTACTAGCTCCATATCCTTTGTTTGCGGCTTCAACAAAAGCACTTGCTTCTTGCTTTGCAACCTCATTCTCATGAAACATTTGTTCAGCCTCATTCATGAATCTCAAGCCCTGTGCTCTCATTTCGTCACGCTGAGTACTCACCAATTGGAGTTGTTCACCTTGACGATCCATGGCATGCCGATGTCGTTCCTCGGCGACTGCCTCAATCAACCGGGTGTCGGTGGTTGGGGCCTGGTGAACATGCAGGTGCTGGTTCAAAACATTCATTTGATTCAAACTATTGACGGCACAGCGTTCCAGCTGGCACTCGCAACAGGAGGGGTGTACTGGAGAATGTCAGGCCCCAAGGGCGTGTCCATGTAACCTAACCCTTCCGGAACGAGTGCGGTGGAACTCGCGAACTCAGGCGTTTCCTCTCGTGTGGACATTTGATCCCGCTCGGACGAAAGATCGATAATTGCGGGATAGCCAGAGCCTGCCATGGACGGCGTGCGAGGGACGAAGAGCAAGAGGAAAATCAAAGAGACCTACGGCTGATAACCTATTTCAAACAGGTAACAGCCTGAAAGGACCACCTTTTTCTTGAGCCAAAGTATGCGGCGGTCGTAAGGGTCGATATGTACACTACCTAGCTGTGAAAAATAGAAGCGTGTAGTGTTCTCTTACTGCTGATTGCCGACACAACTTTTGCAATGGGAACAGTAAGTGATTTCGGTGAAGTTGCGCCTTTGTTAGCTCAGGAAGGTCACTTGAACATCAACATTCCCACAGATCAGAGCCATCAACATCGGGATCCATGCCGACGCCATCAATTCCCGCTGAAACTTCAAACGAAAAGGGCTACGTGGCTACACCATGCTACACCCCCTTCATCTTAGGAAACAGGGGCGTGCATACACATGGGGACTTCCAGTGCCTTGACATTTTAAGAGATACCAACATGCGCAACAGCGCCATATGATATTTTGGCTTGCCAAGGGTCCCATAGTGGGTGCTGCATCTTCTGGCAATATGCGATGAGGCTGAACATCTGTGAAAGAAGATCGAGCCACATGTGGTCCTGGCCTGCTTCTCCAACAGTAATGCCAGAGAGCAGTGGCCAGTAGGTCGCTGCGACAGCACTGTCACCGTCACCATCGCAAACCAACTTCAGTGGGCGAAGAAGATTGGGATGATGCAGCACTTTGCACGATGAAAATCATCGAGCAAGTACTACTAGTAGCAAAGGGGCTACTGGGGGCTCCTAGCCTTACTGCTAGTAGCAAAGAAGCTACTACTCCTGGCCTTACTGCTAGTAGCAAAGAAGCTGCTAGGGGCTCCTGGCCTTACGAGTAGCAAAGAAGCTACTAGGGGCTCCTGTAGCAAAGAAGCTACTAGGGGCTCGAGGCCTTACTGCTAGTAGCAAAGAAGCTACTGGGGGCTCCTGGCCTTACTACTAGTAGCGGCCTTCCTGCTAGTAGCAAAGAAGCTACTAGGGGCTCCTGGCAAAGAAGCTACTAGGGGCTCCTGGCCTTGCTGCTAGTAGCAAAGAAGCTCCTGGGGG